TAGAATCATGTCATTCATTATTGATTTTTATTATTTCATTTAATATGACACCTTTGTCTCCTTAGAACAGTGTTTCACAAATAACCTAAATACTTCAACTAGTTTAATAATTAATAAGATACAATAAATTAGTGATTGAAATAATTTAATTAATCTAAATCCCAGTTAAAGAAGCAGCTAAAATAATAATCAGATCACTTCAAAATGTTTGAGTAATGATCTTGACTCCTCTCCTCCAAAGGGCCATCAAGTAGACTGAGTAAACTGTATTCTTCATTACTTCTTCAACTGTGCATTTATAATTGAAAATCTTTGGGGGCTAATGGAAAGCACATGCATGTGGCACACGGATGATAACTGATGGACTGTTATTCTTTACTAATGTAGTAAAAATGTTTTCTTTCAGCTGATTTAGTACAAGAAGGAGGAGAACTCATTAAAAATGTTTCAAGCTGATTACCTTGTATACATTTTTAATTTGACCATTATCTTAATTGCTTGATTGGAAAATTGCAATTGTTCACATGACTGCATGCTTCGAAAATATACAACTGTTTGCTAGTAATAATTGGTGCTTAATCAGTGAAAGGTTAAATTGCCATACCTTTTTCTGTAGTGTTCTACACTCTGTTTACCTATTATACAAAATATAAAAACAATTAAAATTACATTTGTTTAATCAAGAAAGAAAATAACATTTCTGATTGGCTGGCTTTTCCTCATTTGTTGCTTATATCTCTATTTCACAAATGTTAGCCATTCACTACCTGGCTATTTTGTGGTTTATGTGAAGTAAAGGCATTGCTGAAATATTACCGTGTTTCTCATATAATAAGGCCGGGTCTTTTTTTTTTTTGAGCCACGAAAAAATGGCTAGGCCATCTTTTTGGGGGTGACTTAATTTCCCCCCCTTGCATCTTCGGGTGGGCGGCGACGGCTTGGATGTTGACCTCGGTGTTGGTGGGGCACTTCGTATCGGGCAGGCAGCACCATATCCGGGTGAGCAACAAAAGTACTTCCTAATGGCAAGCCCCCCCCCACCATTCCCCCCATTTCGCATGTTTTAATATAGGCCTTAATTTGGGGTGAGGGGCTTAATTTCATTTCATGCCTATAAAACATGCTGGGACTTCCTATTGGGGGAGGCCGTATTGTTGGAGAAAAAGGGTATTCATTGCTGTAACATAGAGATTAAGATCAGGTGTGTTATCAGATACATGTTCCCAACCTCTTGACTTTAGCTGTGTGAATATGGTTACTGGAAAATCTATCTTGATTTTTACTAATTAGGGAAATGATTCTGTAAACTCTCAGATTTCATACCTTCTAGAAATAACAATAAAACACCTTCAAACAAGAACATCTACCTATTCCAGGTTCTTGAGAAGAACTTGATAGGTAGATAAAAAAATGCCAATTTCAATCTAAACATGACTGTGACAAATTACCATAACCACAACAACAATAAGACATAATAAGGCCTGGGAATAGATAAGAGCAGGAAAATTGAAGAAAGAGACAGAGGGGCTAATTCTGGCTGCACAAGACCCAGCCTTAAGAACAAATGCATACAAAGCCAGAATTGAGAAGACAAAATCAGACAGCAAGTGCCACCTCTGCAAAGAAACTGAAGAAACAGGATACAGCTGGTTAGCTGCTTCAAGGAGATCGCACAGACTACAATTCTCTGGAACGTCAAGCAGACAAAAACCTGCCACATAACAATTGTCAGCAAGAAAAATAAAAAGTGTGGAGAGTGGATGTGGGTGTACCTGGAGACAGCAGAATAGAAGATAAAGAACTGGAGAAAATAACAAAATACAAAGACCGGCAAGTAGGAGTAGAAAAACTATAGCAAATGTAAGCAAAGATAATACCCACAGTGATAGACACCTTATGTGCAATCCCAAAGCAACTGGAGCACCACTTGAACACCATCAGCATTGACAAAATCACCACTCAGTCAATTGCAAAATGAAGCTTTACTAGGAACAGTTTGCATCCTGCAATAATACATTTAATATCATTAAACAACATCTGTTTATCACAGATTCTTGGACTTGATAGATTGAGAAAAATGCAAATCCAGTCTCAAAGTCTAGCTGACAGTGTGTAGCCAATAATAGTAACCCTCGTTCTATTTGATAATATTGGGCTGGATGGACAAACCTTAAATAATACAACCTGCTGTGTCTTTTTCACCCAGTACAGTTCTACTACAAAACACAATTAGCATGATAACAAAGTCATGTTATTTTATGTCTGTATGCCTAGATAAGGATAGTACCTTACAACTTTCAAACTAACAATTTAATTCATTGCAAAATCACTATTGTTGATATACACATTTTTTTTAAAAATGACAGCAACAAATGCTTGTTTAGTTTTCCATTATAACAGTTAAAACAAAGCATTGGGATGAGTTACTACATTGTATATTTTCATATGTCTTTAAAAAGTGGTGTTTTCCACATTTAACAATGAAAATAGTAGTTTAAGGTTTCACCCAGCCTGAATAGATACAGTAGGAAACTTTTTTTTTTTAAATGTAAAGCCATCATATTTTTCCACTGACCAAAAGGCTGCCTTTGAAGATCACCTGGAAATTTCAGCTGATCCAGAATGCCGTATGACGCACAGTAATGGGGGCACTTCTTTTGTGTGAGCTGCACTGGCTTCCAGCTTCTTTCTAGGTGCAATTCCAGGTGCTGGTCTTCACCTTTAAAGCCCTTATATGACACAATGCCAGGCTATTTGCAAGACCACCTTTCCTGGAGGACATCTGCCATCCTACCAAGTCAGATAGGGTGGGCACAGTCCTAGTCCATTCCCCTAAATATTGCCATCTGATGGGAGCTAGGAAGGGTGCCTTTTCTGTGGCAGCTCCTGCCCTCTGGAACCACTGCCCCCTGAAGATCAGCAGGCCTCTACCCTTTTAGCCTTCTGTAAGGAGGCATTGAACATCTGGCTCCCCCCCGCCAAGTATTGGGAGAAGAGTAGATAATCAAACATTATTTGGTGCCAGCTGTTAGTTGGTTTGTTTAATATCTGTTGAATTTTATAGCTCTAATGTGATTTCATATATTTTTTAATCTTAAATTAGGGGTCACTCAGAAAGATGGGTGGCTACATATATGTTAAAAATAAATACATACATATATGATGCACTCTTCTGAGAGTTAAACACCTGAACTAGTACATCAATATGTGTTTCTGTATATGAATGTGTTTTGAGTATTTCCTGTGAACCTAATATTGATTCAAATTCAAATATTTTCTTTTAGAGAGCTGAATCTTGCTTCTTGTTTAGATTATTGGAAATAAAGGGAAAGGAAGGGTTAGACCTATTTTCATGCTTGATGTGAGTGTTGGTATATATTCATTTTAGTAATGTGTATGACCACTTTCTGGTTTTTACTTGTATAGAGACATCTTTTCTGTGGAGTAATTGTTCCTTAATGATTATTATGCATGCAACTGCTGAGATTTCCACAATGTCAGTACCACTTTTTGTTTTGTAGCTGCTATCATCTCTGTGACTTACTGATTCACACACATATGAATGTATTGATTCATATAAATGGTGACTCAGCTGGACAGCCAGGGGTGGGATGCTACCGGTTCTGCCCGGCTCTATAGAATCGGTAGCTCTGAAGAGCAACAGACACCAAACCGGTTCTGTGTTTGCTGCTGTTTGGCCCGCCTGTCCGCCTGGGCTCTTACCTGTCCTTTATTTCCTGCTTTTTCAACCTCAACTGCTTTGTGCAGCACAGCTGAGGTTGAAAAAGAAAGAAAAAAGTGGCTTTTCAAATGCTGCGCACCTGTGCGCAGTGCTTTTCAGTTGTCCGGGTGGCACAGCTGATTTTTTTTTACACGTGCGCACAGCAAAACATAGTCACCGAACTGGTAGTAACACTGGTTGAATCCCACCCCTGAGGACAGCCCATCTACCACTTGGGCAAGATGGTGGTAGCTGTTTCTTTTTTGATCCATTTCAGTATGCTGGAGATTTAACCTTGAAAGTGTATTTAAGGCAAGTTTGTGAAGTCACAGGTTAATAGGAAAAAAAAATTGAAGAAAGATTAAGGTCAATGTATAAAATGAAGTTATTCTAATCTGCTGCAGAAAAAAAATAAGACCTGCTGTTTTGCTTGAACATTATACTTGATGGTTTGTTGACATTTGGGAATGACTGTTCTAAGGACCTCTTGATAAATGGAAAGCAGGCATATCAAATCAATAACCATACCAAAACTAACAATTATAACTAGACATCTGAATAGAATGAATTTCTTCGAAAGCTTCCTTAGGAAACAGCATAAATGCTGACCTTACTATAAAAGACTAAATAAACTCTGTTATTATAATGAAAAGGAAAAAAAACTGTAATGAATCCCGATTGGACTATTTTGTGTAATTCCAAAGAATATATTAGGAACATAACAATGGTTTGCTTTTTTATCCTGCTTGTGAGTTCCTTGGTTCATCTTTCTTTAAATACAATGGTATAATAAATGGTCTTTAGTCAGATCAAGTAAGATAGTTCTGAGGTCCTTAGCTCTTTGTCAAAATGTAGAAAATTTGTAGAAAATTATATTGAATGCCAAAATACACTACTGAACAAACAGCTTAATTTGTATGAATAGCCCATTAATTTGCAAAATGTCCAGGTGAACATTTATATCTGAATTCCATTAAATGAGGGTTTAATAAATTAAGCTTTAACTTGTATTCAAATCACATGTTTTTCAGATTTTCTCTTATTGCTAGAATCTTTTTTTCTAAGTCTAGAGAAGTCTTAAGTTAGGATTAGTAAGCATAGACAATAAAGCTATATTGAATTATTTCTTGGTGATATTTATTTGCCTGTATATAAATAAACATGAAATATTCTTTTTAGCACAGTTATTAAGAAATATTTTAAATTGTGTTTGTATAATGATATGTGTTATAGCTTTTAAGTGCTTGCATTAATATCTCTTTTCTTCTTCTCTTTCTAGAATGGAAGAAACAGTGAGGAACCTGCTACAAAGTCAAGGATTATCTGAGCCCAATGGAGAAGAATCCGTGCCCATATTAAAATCATATCAGGTAAGAATGATTTTCATAGCTCTATTTGCAACATCTTAATAATTGGTAGAATAATTAGAAGATGGAAAAACTGTAAACACAGTTGATTTTAAAGTTGCTAAAATTATCTCTTCTGAATAAGAGACATGCTGTCACATATGTAATTGAAGCAGAAAATACTCAGAAAAAGAAGAACCAGGAAATGGTCTGTGTACAAGCTATGGAACAAGAAACTTTAAGGCAGAAGTGCAGTAAAAATAACCAATGGGGAATGTGATTAAAAATGACATTTAAGCTTCTGAAAAATGCTTGGAGCTATCAACAGATTTCCCATGCATTGAGTTTGCATGACAATGAAAATTCTCTAATACATCTGGAAAAGAGAGGAAGAGAGCTGGAAAGACAGGCAGGTAATACATTGCAGGCAGGTGGGCAGATCCTAATGTAATGCTAGTCAAGTATAGAGGGTGACTGAGATGATCCTTTTGTTCCCCACTGCAAAGTTATTTTTTCATACTTTGCATATGCATACTAAATATGTAAATAAATTGTGTTACTTATAGGTTACCTAAGATATGTTCACATGTGGGTAAGATGTATAAGTGCATTCCCATTTCCTTTGTGTGTGTCCGTGAATGTGCATACTATGAAAATATAGTCATGTCTACATTTGCACATACAGTATGTGTAGACACTTGAAGATGCTTTGTACATTTAGGCAAGCAAGCCTACTGTTTATCTTCACATAAATACAAGGAGCATATGTCTGTATATGAACATGAGGTGCCTTCATGCATCACTTGTGTGGATGCATATTTGCGCAGAAGATTCTGAGAAAATGTTTCATGATGTTTTTATAATGATAGTATTGATTAAAGGATGAGGTCAATGTATTCAAGCCCTCTTTGATTAAATAAGAAACTTATTAAATGGGCAGCAGATTGTAATGTGCATAGATATTAAAATTAAATTAAATTACATGAGTAGAAAATTCCCTCCTTTTCTTATTTTATAAAGACTGTCCCTTCTCTGACATCATTTTGCGACCTGTTATCATAAAAGACATGTAGGGCTGTATTTCTTATATGCACGTATAAATATATATACTCATTCAATTTATTGCAAACTCATATATGTATTATTTTTTAAAAAGATATATGCCTTTATTTATCATCAAACCCATAGTCTTCACCAAGCTGCAGAACTACTTTTTAAAAGTAGTAATACTTTTATTTTTCATCAGTAGAAGAGACTGTATGAATTGTGTCATTGTCTTTGAAGCTGTATTTGCCACTAGTTAAGGATATTATATTCAAAAGAAAAAATTTAAGTTAATAAAAAAATAATTTAGGAAGAAATGAGAAAATAATATTGAGAATAATTATTTTGATTATGGGGTTTATGAAACATGAAAGAATTCCATATTTCAAGGGACTATGGTAAGTTGTTTTAAAGGTGTGCAACGTGTTCAAGGTAATATTTCGGTAATCATAAAAGCTTCTTCTTTGCAGTAAACACTTTGATCTTTTGACCACTGCCTGCGTATTTGTCTTTTCTTTCTTAAACCTAATTATTGTTTAGGGATGTATAAGACAGCTCTGATTACAATATCAATATGGCTGTCTCCCGAATAAATACTGGTGCTAATGAACTTTAAATGTTGCCCAGTACAGATTGTCAATAGAACAGTAATCAGAGGGATAGCACAACATACTTGCATTATTGTAAAATTGTCAAGATATTTTTTTCTAGATGAAGGCAATTTATCTTATTTCTTTTATATAAAATATTTTAATATCATACAAAGACACCGACTGTTCTTAGTTGCACTGATTTTATTTAATGGCATATTCAAAAATAAAAAAAAATAAAATAAACAACAATGAATTTAGACAGGAGGTGTTCAGGAATGTTCCAACAACCATTTCCCAGATCAGATCAGAACAGAACAGAACAGAACAGAACAGAACAGAATAGAATAGAATAGAATAGAATAACAGAGTTGGAAGTATCAGATATTGACTACATGAATTGACTCTAGAATATATTATTAAAACAGTGTTGCAAAATGAGTACATTTCATAAGTCTAAATAGGAAAGTATGATGTGAACCACACCACGATGCAAACTCTTGGTGTCATTGTATGGTACATAAAACCTTCACAACTATTGCACCCTGCAAGTTATTAGTAGCACACAGTTCTCCACAATTCATCTTGTTTGCTGTCCAAAACAATAAATTAATGGGTTGTGGTTAAAAAAAATTGGGATATTTGTATCTATGTTTGGGGATATACAAGAAGGATCCACAAATTATGGCAAAAATGTTTCTAGCAGTCAAAAAAATATAATAAAAATCTAATAGCACATGCAGAGTGACTTCCCTTTCCCACTAAAAAGCATATTGCCTATCCTTCATAGTTAAGGGTAACACATAATGGCATTTATTGATTTGTCTGTCTCTCCATCTCTGTCTTTGTCTCTGTCTGTCTGTCTGTCTGTCTGTGTATATCAATCTATTTGTCTGTCTGTTTGTCTGTCTGTCTATCTATCTATCTATCTATCTATCTATCTATCTATCTATCTATCT